CTATGTCCTTCAGGAAGCAGGGTTGAGCTTCTAGGACAGAGTCTTTATCAGGCTGAAACCCAACAATATTTACTGTTTGGCTCTTGACAGAAAATATATTCTGCACCCTTTATTGCAAAGTTGATATGCATTGATTTATGGCACACATATTTATTAAACACGCACTATAGACTAAGTACTGTGCTCCTGTTTTCTACGTAAGAGGCTTTCAGACAAATGAAAGACAGACAACTAATGGATGCTGATTTAAGTGTGAGTTTAGAGGCAAAGTTAGGTTGCAGCATGTGAATGTGTTGTCCTTGGATGGTGAGTGAGTAGAAGTTAGCCAGGTGAAGCAGCAGAACAGCAACTATAAGGGCCCGGAGAAATGAGGAAGCTGCAAATGTTTCTTAGATGAGAGGGAAGAAAGGCCAGACACCTTTGTTGGGTTGATTGTGGGGTGGTGGTGGATGAAAGAGCCGTCATTAGCTTACTAAGACAGCATCAGACAGTCCCTGGGCTGGAGGCAGAGGAGTGGTTCTGGAAGGTGGAGCGCCAGGACCAGCCAAGGAGGGAGCCGAGCCAGCACTGGTGGTGTCATGCCTGGTGAGTCCGTTTTCACCAGCTGATACCCTCAGCAGCTCTGCCAGGACCGCACCTCCACTCCAAGCTGCACCTCCAGAGCAAAGGAGTATAAAATTGAACTCTTGATTAATCCCACCCAAACCCTTTGCAGGAAGCCTCTGATCTGGAGATTATTAAACCCTTTTCCAGGATTAGAGATAAAGATGTAAAATGTAAAATACAAACGTCAACGTTGATGGAGATGAAAACATTGTCATTTCTCCTGAGAAAAGCACTGTCAGACAGTGAGCCAACACAACCCATCACAGGCTTGCCAGTTTTAACTTATGAGATTTGGGAGAAAGGAAGGCATCTCTAACATCCTTTTTTATTATGGGCTCATTTTGTGCATCCTAAATTAAGCTAGGGAAGAATACAAACGTTAAGAAGATACACTTTTTCAGCTTCAGAAAATATGTGCTCTTCTCTTTTAGTTGAAGTACATTCTGCTTTAAGATGCGTACTTTAAAAGTAATTAGTTATGCACGCATGTATCACTTCTCCTGTTTATTGCCATTTGATGAATTTTCAGATGTTTCTGCTTGACTTCCCTGCACCTGAAGAAAGCTCCAGGTTAGGTGCGTCATACGTGCCCACAGCCTGGCCTCACTGTCCACATTTTTCCATAGTCTGTTGTCCAACTCGCTCCTGGCTGCCTTGCTAGATCTCATCCCCACGCAGGGCAGACCTGTCCATTTTTTTCTATTTTTTTTTTGTTTGTTTGTTTTTTCCCAATACCGGGAATTGAACTCAGGACCTCACATTTGCCAAGCAGGTGCGGCACCATGGAACCCCTGTTCATTATGTACTTCTTAATGTTCAGCTCAGTGCCTGCCATGGAGTACAAGCTCAACAAATATTATCGAGGAAATAAATCAATGATACTGAAATATTATATACATATTTCTTTGTTAGTACCTACACATAGTTGATTGCGTGCTTTTTAGCAGAGTAAAAAGGGCAATTCTGCTCTACAAGCATTCTTGAGACAGTCATGTCTGATTAAAAAGTTCAAACTATAAAGAATTTTCTATTAAAATGTGGTCTCATTAAATATATAGTATTACATCATGTGTCAAAGTTGTGGAGAACCATAGATCCGCCCCTCCGCCATTTTATGATATAGCCTATGAAGCCATTTTGTTTTAGGTTTAGTTTTCCTGTAGATCACATGATATGTTCCCGTGGGTGTTTGATGTATCCTTATAAGGTAATAATCTGTTCTCTGTATGCTGATTGGTTGCATTATGGTATATATGTTGCCACCCTTTCCGGCGCGGAGAGCGGGGTAGAGATCTGGAGATGAGGAACTAAAGTAAACTCCTTGTGTATCAAGTGTGTGCCTCTGCTCGCGCGTCGCCAGTTCAGGCCCCTGTAGTCGCAGACCGAGTTGCCCAAGGCAATCTGGCTCGCGACAAAAGTTTACTTTCCTTCACTGCATACTTCTTTAAAAGTGATCTTGTATTATTTTCCCATCATTACATTACATTTGCAAGAGGATGAAAAAAAGTGGAAATACAGCTTTTTCAAATGAGAAGGGGCTCAAGAACTGGGAGCAGGGAGTAACTTATTACGTACATATACAAAGCCCCCACAATAAATGTAATCATTATGTACTTTCAACATGTACTAATACAGAATACATAAGAAAATAAAAAAGTTAAATAAAAAGTATGTTTTCTATATAAAAAGAACAGAAAATTTTTTGAGAAACAAAATTTCAATTTCAAATTATCCTCTGGGGTTTTTAGGTAAGATGCCTATATATGCATAAGATGCAAATATGTATTTGTAGGAAAATAACATTTCTGTATTCATAATGTCCTAGTGTTTTGGAAAAAGCAGTTCCCAAATTGTTAGATGTCAGATGTGCCAAGTCCATGGTCTTACAACATTGAGGAATGAAGGCGCAAATCAAAGGTTGGGAAAGTTTTGTTTGAAATAAGAATAGCTCCTGGGTTTCCAGGAGGAGTCAGGAGTGGGTCGCCCCATGGCCCCCTCATCCAGAGCCAATTATAGAGAAGGAGAACACAGGAATTGCTCAATTGTTTAGTGGCCACCTAGCACAGGTGGCTCTGCAGCAGGATTTAAAGAAAAACGAGTCCTTCCCAGCCTTGGGCAATCTCCACCTTATCACCCACCTCTCTCTTGTAGCTGTAACTCCTTGTTCTGATACAGATAAAATTGATAACTACATCCTGTAAATAAAGTTTATGGCACACTGTTCTCATATGTCATAAAACACTGTCCTCTTACAAGGCTAAATTACAAAACTCTCTGCCCTTGTCCTGCTCTGGGAAACTCACTTGCTATGTCACAAGACAAATCCCCTTTGAGCAAATGCATAAAAGCTGGAACTTTTCTTTGTTCAATGCTCTTCCACTGAGCCAGTGTTCACCTGAAATAAATCCTCTCGATTCCTGTTGAACTCTCTTGTCTGTTGGAATTCTGCAACAGCTCTGAATTCAAAATGACCAACTGGAACTCAGGATCTCTAACCCAGTTCAACATGAAGGGCTTAAAGGAAACTGGGATTTTAGAGAAAAAAAAATCTGGTTATTTCACTTTTTAAATTCCTCAAAGCTCAGGAGCTTAGAAGGGAGTATCTGCACCTCCCTTTAATAGAGAATGGGCTCCATGCTGCCTGAGGGAGTTCATTCTTTGTCCCAGTTCACTGATTATTCTTAGTTTTTACCACGGGGCTGGTCATCCCACTCTATCTCAGGCCCTTCCCCTAACTAGCGGCTTTACTCATAAACTAAATAACATATTTTCTACAATAGGATTAAGTTTCTGATGAAATCGATTTCCAGATTGTAAAACGCTTGAGGTGGTTCTGGCAAAACATAATTGTTGGGAATATTTAAAAAGTGTTTCTATGCTTTTTTGATCTTCCTTCTCCCATACTCCACATTACCGGCTTTATGGGAAAAATTGGTTCATCTCGACATGTAACTTAACGGCACCATTAAAAAAATCAAAGAAAAAATATTTGGTTCATTTCAGCCTTTTTACTGCTAAAATTTTGTGGCCATGAGTCCTCAGTCCAGTCACCTGTTTCCTGAGGTGTAGAAGCCGGATGCGTGAAGTATAAGCAGCAGCAGTAAGCTTTGTGCTTCAGAGACAGGGACCCCAAGGTCACAGCGCACAGGACACACTTGGGGGTCATGTAAGGGAACTCAGTTGTGCGCTGCCACAGAAGTGAAGCGGGGATAACTTCAGCGGGATGTGTGAGGCATCGCAACACAGCATTGGAGTCCGGAGGACCGGGCCCGCCACGCTGA